CTGTTCCTGCAGCAGCAACAGCAGTAGCAGCAGCTGCTGCTGCTGCTCCGCCGATTTTCTAAGTTAATTTAAATAATTAAAAATAGAATTTCAATTACTGTCTATGGGCTGGAAGAGCATACAAGGCGCTGCTTCTAGGGTTTAGGGTTTAGGGTTTACGTCTAGGGTTTGGGGCTTCTGTCGGCAGCACTGGGGGCCCCCGGCCATCCGACCCTTGCTGCTGCTGCTGCTGCTGCGCAGCACAGAGCAGCAGGGAGAACACAAAACAGCAACTGTAGCAGCAACAGCAGCGGCAACGGCAGCAGCAGCGGCAGCAGCTGCTGCAGCAGCAGCAAAGTTGGCCCAGAAGACACCCCCCACGCAGATTGGTGTGTAGCAGCAGCTGTAGCTGCTGCTCCTGCTGCCGCAGCAGCAGCAGCAACGGCAACAGCAAGAGCAGCAGCAACAGCAGCAGCAGGAGCAGCAGATCTTTGAGGCGAGATGCGTGTGCCGCGATCCGGCCTGCTGCTGCATTTGCTGCTGCTGCTGCTGTCTGCATGCAGCAGCAGCATCGTCCATAGCTTCGTCTTGCAGGAAAAGCAGCAGCAGCTGCTGCTTCTAGGTTGGCCTAAGGCCACAGCAGCAGCAGCAGCAGCAGCAAAAAGGCTGCTTCCGCTGCAGGCAGCAGCTCGCAGCAGCAGCAGCAGCAGCAGAAGCAGCAGCAGCAGTGGCAGACACTCCAAAAGGAGCAGCAGTATCCAGGGCCCTGCCTTGCTGCAGCAGCAAGAACAGCAGCAACAGCAAAAGAGTGAAACATATGCCAGAGCAGCAGCAGCAACTACAACAACACACGCAGCAGCAGAAGCAGCAGCAGCAGCAGATGCAGCCGAGAACGGGTCCAGCGGAGACCCTCAGCAGAAGCAGCAGCAGCAAGAGCAGCAGCAGCTAGAGCAGCAGCAGCAACAACAGCAGCAGCAGCAGGCTACTCTGTGGGGAAGGCTCATGAGTTTCTTGGGCCTACGGAAGCAGCAGCAGCAGCAGCAGAAGCAGCAGCAGCAGCAGCAGCAAACGCCTTCTGCTTCTGCTGCTTGTGGCAAGAAGGAGAAATGTGAGGCTGCTGCTGCTGCTGCTGCTGCTGCTCGTGCCACGTAGGGCCTTGACCATCTGCTGTTGCTGCTACTTGCACTGCTGCTGTCTTTTTGTTGCTGCTGCCACTGTTGTTGCTGCTCTCCTTCCGCTGCGGCTGCTTTTGCTGCTGCTGCTCCTCCCGTTGCTGCTGCTGCTGCCGGCGCTGCTACCGTCATTGCTGCTGCCACTACTGCCGCTGCTGCTGCTGCTGTTTTTGCTGCTGTTGCAGCAACTTCTGCTGCTGCTGCTACGGAGCGCCTCACTGGTGAGGCCGTGAGGGAGCTGCTGCAGCAGCAGCAGCAGCAGCAGCAGCCGAAGATAGAGTGCGCAGACTGCGGCTCGCAGCTATTTGTGGCTAAAGGGAGGGAGAAGCGGTTTCTTACTCGCGTAAACCCTAAACCCTAAACCCTAAACCCTAGACCCTCTTAATGAGCCGCACCACTTCCAGCAGGGTCTACAGCAACAGCTGCTGCTGCTACTCCAGCGGGTGCTGCTGCTACTCATGGTGCGGAGACTGCTGCTGCTGCAGCACTGCTGCTGCTATTTCTGCTGCTGCTATTGCTGCTGCTGCTGCTATTGCTGCTGCTGCTGCTGCTGCAGGAGACACGCTGCGCTGGCTGCGGCTCTTCTGAATTCGTTTTGGAGCCCTGAGGTGTACGGACTCCCCAGCAGCAACAACAGCAGCAGCAGCAGCAGCTGCTGCTGCCGCTGCTGCTACTTCATCA